CTGATATCTTATCGGGTGGCTAGCGGATTAATACATTTAAAAGTCGATAACCGATAAGCCAAATCGTTAAGAGTATATAACCGCCCAATCCGCCCGATAAGCAGCCCTAACTAACACCATTTTTCATCACGCAAATGATTATAACAATCTTAAGTCAACAACCCAAAACCCTAGCAACTCATTTGATTCCCTTTATCAAAACCATCTACTATTCTCCCAAAAACTTATTAGTTCATATTTACAAATGATTAAGGAGTAGAAGCATTACCTTTTTGAAGTTCAATCCTCTTGAATTCGAGTTCTAGGGTTTCTTTTCTCAACAATGATGTTTCGATCGAATATCTATTGATTTGAAGGATTTACCCATGTTAATAAGGTGTTGGAGAATTGAAATTAACTTAGAATCATCATTAGAACTTACCTTGGATGATGGAGGGACATTGGGGGAGTTAGGTTCTTGAGAGCTTCCCTTTCTAGAGAAAATGTACGTGTTTGAGGTTGTAAGGAACGAGGTAGGGTTTAAATAAGTTTACGCGTCCCAAAAATCGAGGAGGAAATAAAATTAGCTCGGATAAACATCATCGGCGCGGGGCATCATCAGGGGCGCCAAAACTACAGTGCCTTGCACTCTCAGGGGCACTAAGGTTAATGCCCTGGACAATGCCTTGCACTGTCAGGGGCGCTGAGGTTAATGTCTTGGACAGTGCCTTGCACTGTCTATGGCCGTGAGTTTTCATGACCTTGCACTATCTAAGGCTGTGAATTTTTATGGCCTTGCACTGTTTAAGGATGTAAGACGGACCTCCCATAAACTTATGCACCTCACTCCGGTCTTGATTCCAACACAACTGTTTTCACCTATAATCATAATCATCCCGATGGGACTTCACGTGTCTAAAATATCACATTAATACTCATTTAATGCATCCATAACTAATCTGGATTTACGGAGTGTTACATCAATGATCCAAAAGGGTAGAAGATATCATTAACTAATAATAAATAACAATGAATAGAATTTAAGTAAATAAAAATGTGTGAGTCGTCACCCGAAAAAAGGTGGGATCTGTGAATATTCTTTCTGACAATGATGAATGATTGATGAGCCTCGGAACACTTGGGTTGTTCTTGGATCAAGTGAAAAAGTTAGACAAGAATCTTAGTAAAAAGATTATTTTTGTATGCTTGTAATATGACTAGATTCTCTCTATAAAGTCAATATATTTTTTTACAAATGAATATCTCATGTCCCCAATCATTATGTCTCCTCTTTCTATTTATAGGGAATATATTCCTAAAAACCCTAATAGTACAGGTAGAGAGAATATTCTCTTTTGTGTCCTATCCTAAAACTGACCGTTATAACTCTGTCTAAGATGCTCGACCTCGACCTTGATCTGCGACGACTTCTCGACCTTGATCCTTGCTTACTCTTCGACCGCACCCTTCATCGCTTCAGGAACCACTTTGACCTTGGATGAGTTTTTATTAAGTTGTACTGATAACACATGGCAGTTTGTGAATGTCTCCTTAATGTTAACATGGTTTGATCATATTAGAGATAATTTTTGACCCAAACAACTATCACTGGAGAAAGCTCTTTTTATTTTTTTTTATTGTTGGTGTTGGTCATGTAATATGAGGGATGGTAGTCCAATCTATTTTTACTTTGGATAAAGTTTGGATTGTACTTTTTCTCAACTGAAATTAATAATTTTTTAGGTGGCCGGTGGATAAATTTTGCTATTAAGAAGAGAACTTTATTTGTTGGCATGAAATTTTTTCAATGGAGGTCTGAGTAGTGGGGTAAAAAGAATGGGAAGGAGAGGATTCTATTGTTAATGGTATAAATGGTTTGGCAATTTACTAGGAATAAGAGTGTTAATGGTGGCAAGTTCAATGATGAAGAAGAAGAAGAAAAAAAAAAAAGAAATAAAAAAAGAGAAATGAAACGAAAGAAAGGAAAATAAAAACCAAATAATGGTCAAACAACAACAACAACAACCCAGTAAAATTTCAAGAGGTCTGGGAAGGGTAGTCTGTACGCAGACCTTACCCCTACCCCTTGAAGTAGAGAGGTTGTTTCCTATAGACCCTCGGCTTAAGAAAACGACAAAGACAAAAGAGACAATATATCAGTACCATCAACAGAAACCATAGAAATAATAAAGCATTATAAGAAACCAAAAAATAGTTGAAACGCAATATAATAACCAGTAAAGAAAAACGGGAGAATAGTGAGAACATAACATAAACCACTAGAAATCTAAGACAACCCTATCAGTCTATCCTCACACCTGGAACGAAGTAGAAAAAATGCTCAACTACCTCCTAACCTACAACTCTAATGCTCGATCTCCACACCTTTCTATCAAGGGCCATGTCCTCGGAAATCTGAAGCCTCGCCATGTCCTGCCTGATCACCTCTCCCCAATACTTCTTAGGCCGCCCTCTACCTCTTCTCGTTCCCGCCAAAGCCAACCGCTCACACCTTCTTACCGGGGCATCGGGGCTCCTCCTCCGCACATACCCAAACCATCTAAGTCTCGATGCCCGCATCTTGTCATCTATAGAAGCCACGCCCACCTTCTCCTAAATATCTTTATTCCTAATCTTATCCATCTTAGTGTGCCCACACATCCACCTCAACATCCTTATCTCTGCTACTTTCATCTTCTGTATATGTGAGTTCTTAGCCGGCCAACACTCTACTCCATACAATATGGCCGGTCTAATCACTGCTCTATAAAACTTACCTTTGAGTATCAATGGCACTTTCTTATCACACAGGACTCAAGATGCTAACCTCGAGGAACGAAGTAAAATAATGGTCAAAATAGTATTAAAAAAGAAAATTACTTGGCAAAATTTGATTGGAGCGTGCATTACGCTTTCCTTTTAAGAGTGGTGCTGGTCACAAAAGATGGTATATGTTACACTTCGAACTAGTATAAGAGGATAATAGGATCCCTGCAAAAGCATAAGGGTACAACTAGTAAAGTGGAAAAATCTTAGGGGATAATTATGTATTAACCAAAAATTATTACCAAAATTTATATAACGTTGAGCTACATAATAGTTGTCTGACGAGCCTCCCAATCACTATCATCATCATAAGTCTCATGATCAACTCATCGTTACCAAAGGGGTATAGCGATGAGATTAAAATAAATATTGCTAAAGAAACCTTTGCATGCCATGTCAGATCATCATGTCAAATCTCATCAACATCAACTCATCATTCCCAAATAGAATATAACTGCGAGATATATCAACTGAATCTAAGAAGAAAGCCCCGAATATTGGTATAGGTAACTAGAACAGAAAGGTTGAGCAGAGACGCAAGTTTGCAGTGGTGAAACATCATTATTGATTATCATCATTAGTTTATGGTTGATCGTTCTCCACAGGCCACAGCCAACAAAAGATGATCGCATTGCCACCAACAAGAAGATTACAAGTGCTCTAAGCACCAAACACATACACACAAAAACAGAGGGAAGTGAATGAAGGGCAGATATACCTTAGTCTATGTGGTATCACGGGACACGAATTCTTTTACTAAATATGTATGTATATATAGATAATAACCAAAATGAAAATATTGTGTATAAATATAAAAAATGACATTACTTGTCATTATAATGATTTATTCATATTTAAATGTTAATATTGGTTACGAAAAATCTTAGGCCTCATAGATAAGTATTGACATAAAGCATCGGGATTTCACTCTTGGCATTGTTGTGCGACCTTGTGAGACCAGGAGGAGCAGCAATGCGGGATCCAATTTTATTTTTTAGTTTGAAATCGAGCTCTTTAAACTTGTTATGTCCTTTTGGATAAAGTTCATCTGTTCCTCGTTACACTCATTCCATTCTACTAAAGACGACATGTATTTGTCTAGTACATCCATAAATTGCAAGTACATCACTTCCAGACTTGGCAACGCATTCAAAAAGGGAAAAAACAAAGTAAAATTGCTTTTCTGCCACCCTTTTGGTGAGTAAATGTGCATCAGAAATCTGGAAAGCAAAAGGCTTGTGGCGAAACAAATACAGCTGGGAACTCAAGCAGCACTTTCTATTTCCTCCACAGTCTAACTTCTCTATAATTTTCCCCTCACAAATGTCATGAACTCGTACATCTCATCCTTCCATCATCTAATTCAATTCAGAATCTTACTTCTCTAATAACATGTCGAACTCTATCATTCAACTTTCGCTACTACCACACTAGGGATGCTGCTCTCAGCAACAGTCTCCCTTACGAACCTGCAAAAGAAAGCAAATTTTATACCATGTCTCCATCCAACAATTGTGGATACAGAAAGACAACAGATATTAAGAGGAAGAAGAGAATACTTTTCCAACTTATCTCGAGATGATTGCAAGACGTAGACAGCAAGGATGAAGGATAGCATGACCCCTGCTTGCGTCATAGCAATAGATTAATCAAATATAATAACCAAGAAAATGTGGATGTTCTATGAACTATAATTCAACATAGAAACAGTATTTATTATGTACTGACACACTTCTATATCTCATTAAAGATTAACTACTACTATCTACAATTTTGGCTCCCAAACAAGAATAATGTCTGATGACACTACTAAGTCAGGAAACATACTAGCAACGGAACCAGCATCCATAGTGTGCTACATTTAGATGGAATTATGATGAAGCTTGCGAAAGTCAGTAGAGCACTTCAGCTAAGCATGTGTTTACCTGACCCGAAGAGAACGTAAAATCCCGAAGCCACATCTATCTCTGACTGCTCTTCCCTTAAATTAATGAAAACATATTATAAGAAAAAATAATAATAAGAATAAAATAAAAATTAAAACTGTAAGTCCTGTTTAGTGCAAATTTAAAAAGTCAATAAGATGACTTATGAGCTAGAAAAATCGCCAAAGGCATCATTAAATATATAATACAGGTAAGGACGCAATCAATTTATCAGCCTAAAAGAAGTTTATGGTTAAGCCAAAACATTTCCCTATTACAGTAGCTTATATCATCCTCATCTTTCAACGAAGAAGATAAGAGAGAAGCTTTTAGCAGCAAAAGCAGGAAAAACCCAGTATAGTGCTCAGCGATACATGTAGGAGCATTTGCAGTCTGTGTGGTTTATGCTCTTGTCGAAACAAAAATTTAAAGAACCAGCTCACCAAAAGAAAGGTAGTTGCTCTTATAAGATCAAAACCTCCAATGAAGCTGGACAATCTGTGGTTCCACCAAGCAGAACAGCTTTAACAGTAAGTTCCTTGAAGAAGATCACGGCAGACCAGTCTGTTATTTCCCATTATGCTCCCAAGATATGATACTCTCAAGTCAGTTTACTCTCAGTTTCAACACCTCTGCACTGCAACCATGCCGTTAACCACCCACACAACATCCATTAACCACCTTTTCCGTCCTCCTTTACTTCCTCCATTGTCCTGGTTGACACACTGACTTATCCAAGCTAGGACAATAATGGACTAATAAGCAATATTCAGAATGTTTCACATGGCATATGAAAAATCACATGCTTAGGATTCCCAAAAATGACAAGCTGAAAAACCAACCAACCAGCGACTCTGAAGGAAGAGTAAGTGCCTAAATTGAATCTATTTTTCATGTTGCAGGTGATTCAGAATGATCACAAAGTTGAATCTTCCAGTTCATTCATTATCAAGTGTCTGTTGACACTTATTGCGGAGAACAGGCCACATATATTATCAAAACTTTGCTAGAAAGATTAATTTAGAGGTTTAGAGGAAGTTACCATGTATATCTAGCAAGCATGTGCTTGGGCCAGTGTTGTGGATCCCAAAATTGTTTACCAATATCAGGATGAAGTTCAACATCTGTCCATAAATACATCAGAACTTTTCAGATCAGTAAAAGTATTCGTTGGAAAGCTGACAAAAGAATCTCTAGAGTTCACCATGTTTTCTGGAACATCATGATAAACCATTTATCCAATAATAGTGAATAGGAGAAATGAACAGTGAGATTCTTAAGCTTTTCTTGATGAAGGCCACTCGAGGAGTCTTCAGTACTCTTATGTATGGACAAAAGAACTCGTAATTTGTTCTTGGACCTATGTTGACTGAAGATTCTATGAAAAATGGTTAATGACTAGGTTGAAAAAAAAATTGTGAAAAGACAGCATTAAAGATAATGTGAAGGTAAAAAATTTTGCTCAGTGATGGAGCCACCAAATAGTGTGACAAACAACGTATGTCACTATGTTGGGTGTATGATTAGAACAGTAGCATTTTAATCGTCAACAAAAGATGAGTAATTTAAGTTGTACACACAATGTACCTAAGTGTTAAATGACCAACCTTTTTTTCATTTTGTGAAAAAAAAAAATTAATTAGCATATGTGGTGTTACTACTATAAACAAGAAGAGTATCATGTAAGTGTGAAGAAACCAGTGGATCAAAACAGAGTGGTATAAACTAGTAAAGCTATTAGATAAAAAAAATTCCGACAAGCTTAACTGAGTAGTCTGTCTTTTTCTTCCTTTATTATTACAATTCTTTTCCTATTGTTTAGTATGCATCGTTACACTTGGGGCCGGTGCTGGCATGGGAAGAGATTGTATCTACTAAAATTCCTGCCGATTGTAGTGCACCACCACCACCGCACCTTCCTATTGACATGCTAGAAAAGAATTTGAAAGGAAAGAACACATACAGTGATGAGGCATATTAATGACTTTAGCAGTAACGCCAAGCAAATCACCTCCAGAATACCTCTGTGATAAATGAAAAGTTCATTCATTGCATGAAACACTAAACAAAACGTGGAAATATATATTAAAGGGGAAAAGGGGTAAAAATAAAAGGAAAAATTAACAAAAAGAACATGCACCAAGATAATTGCGCGAAAAAATATATATCAGCTAAAGTAAGACCTACTTCTCTACTTAAATACAGGCCTTACCAAATGCATATCAATCATTGGAACCTCAGAACTTTTCCGATTGATCACAAAGAGCCACGGCACGTGATATTTTTCTCTTCCAACTTGGAATGATCTATAGATTGCTGACAATATTAGTAAGTATTCACGTATTTCCAGAAGTAGTTAGCAATCAGAATAACAGTCAGGATAGGCAATTGGATAGACGCTGAAACTAAACAGATGTAACATTACCAAGTTACAAAATAAATAGTCAGCGACAGCACTAGAAGAAACGTTAGCCAATACGAATTTGCAACTGATGTCGCAATCACTGAGAGAAGAAATTTAGTTTGGTTGACTATTTCAAAAGTGATAGTGAAAATACCAAATAACTAAAACGTGCTTCTGTTCGAGCTATAAAAAGCGTCATTCCTTTTTATGGTATATTGCTGACATT